TGACATGCCTTTTTTGGAATGCCTGGATCATTAAATGATATTAATGTTCTTGATCGGTCACCTATCTTTGCTGCACTTGCTGAAGGTCGTACTGCTCCTGTCAATTATACAATTAATGGGCATGAATATACAATGGGATACTATTTAGCAGATGAAATTTATCCTAATTGGTCAACCTTTGTTAAGATAATCCCAAGACCATTAGGAGCAAAGAGAAAATATTTTGCAAGCAAGCAAGAGTCTGCAAAAAAAGATGTGGAGCAGGCATTTGGGGTGCTCCAATCTCGCTTTGCAATTGTACGTGGACCTATTCGACACTGGGATAAAGAAACGCTTGCATATATTATGAAAGCTTACATAATAATGCATAATATGATTATTGAGGATGAAGGAACAATGAACCTTGGATTTGACCATGAACATGAAGTCAATTCCTTTATATCAGTGTCACATTGTGAAATACCAGAACTACATGATTTTCTTCAAACTCATAATCGAATTAGGGATAGAGCTACTAGCTCTCAACTACAAGAAGATTTGATTGAACATTTGTGGGAACAATATGGCAACGAGTAGAATCTTTAGATTTTAACTTCTTATGTTATCATAATTTTCAAGTTTTTTTATGTTTTTTTTTCATTATGTTTGTTATCTTTTAAGTTAATTAATCCTACTTGTTATTGTTAAATGTTAGAGGAACTTTAAAAAAGTATTATGAATTGATATCAATTTCATAACAATGTATTTAAAATAACCAAGAATTTTCTACATATTTAATTAAAAATACATTACATTACAATAAATCAATCAAAGTTAATTAAAAATCAAAACCCCTCTTTTGCATAATTTCTAACTTTCTATTTTGAAAATACGCTGCAGAAATTGGATCCAAATTAGAAATATCCATTTTCATAATTTGTTCTTCTTTCTCAATCCTGTCCAATTCTTGTTTCTCTTGACTTTGTTGAATCATCATGGCTTGTTGCTCTAACATAATTTTCCTGTCTTGTTTCTTCTGATCCTCAATTTCAACTAGAGTATCCCTGAATTGTTGTAAGAGATTCGTTACAGTTACATCCCCAACTTTATCTTTTCCTTGTCTACGTTTAAGTCGTTCCTTTGCAGCCTTCTGACCGATTGGTCTATCTTGATAAATCAACGGTTCACTATCTTCTCCTAAACTCACAGCATCAGGGGT